GAAAAAAAATTGTTTTTTGAGGCTTTGGGTTGATATTAATTAACGTTTCAAAGTTCGTTCTACGCCCTTGTTCAGCACATCTTAGCACTTATGGGATTAAGTCACCACTAAATATAGTATTTCAAACCCATGTAATGAGTTGAAACCATTTTATTTTGTTCTATGATTCGGAATTCAAGTTTAGGCCATAAATTTTTGGTTATAACATTAACATTTGTAATAATTATTATATTAATTCGTTTTTAGGTGTAGGCGCGTGGCGGAGTAAGATAAGGCGGCAGTGTATCAACACTACTTTGGCGTTATTATTAAAATCAATTTTAAAAAATCCTAATTTATCAGTTTGTGAAATGACAAAATTTTTAACACTAATCTCCACATATAGCGCAAAATATGACAAAACCGAGTGGTTAGAAAAAGGTAGGAAAAAAACGTTTTCCCCTTTATTGTTATACCAAAATCTCATCACGTCCAAAGTAAACAAGTAGGTCCATTAGAACAACATGAAACTGGAAGTACTAAGAGAATGAAGTCGTCTGAACTTAATAGCCTTTTCTCGGGTTCCGTTCTAGTTATATTTGTGAAATAATCTTAAGTCCGGACAGCAACGTTTGGGGGGAAAAGGGTATTTATTAATCGTTGCCAGATCTTCTTAGCTCATTGTTTCATTTGTTGGTTTGTGGTGGAAATAGTGTTATTATAGTAAAGTATTGTGTATTATTCAACGGTTGACGTTCGACGACCACGGCGATGATGAAAAAAAATATTCATCCGAACATGATAACGCGGTTATAACTTTAAACTTAATCGTTTTCAGTATAAAGCTTTTCTAAAACGAAATGTTTAACGTTGTTATACCATCGCACGAGAGAAACGAACTCGTACACCAAAGAAAGGCCTCTCTGATAATCTCTTATATAGAATATTATATTGATTATTGTCTTATCTATATCGCTGTGTTTAGTACTTACTCTTGACTAAAAAAGTGCGTACTGTAAACTATTATTATAATGATACGGTTCCTCTATCCCAAATGTCATTTCTTTCATTTCCAAGTTAGTCCAATTACTTTTCTCAGCGAGCGAAGGACTAAATTATTATCTCAGAATCACCTTTTAAAAAAAACTAACTGCCTAAAAGAGTAGGATTTTGTAGCAAGTATCAGATAAGTCGCTATCTGTCCTCAAGTTCGAGCAGTTCTGTGTACATTTCGCGTCCTAACATTTACTTTAATATACTTTTTTAATGATTTTAGTGGTAAATCGATTTTTTTATTGCATCCTGTCAAAAGACATTTTAGCTCGTGGATATATTTTAGTAGCATAATATAAACGAATATATTTTACCTGTGCAAAGGTGAACATTTCATTTTTACGGTTGTTTTAAGGATCCACAAGGATGTTTAACGATGACCGAAGCCATTTTCCAAATAAAGAAAACTATAACGGTCAGTATAATGCAGTATTATATATACGGCCAGACTCCTTTATAAGAAAACGTTCGATAATCTTAACTGTTTTGCCATTCAATAAAAATGGATGTACAAGATACTAGAATAACCTCTCCCTTCTCTGTCTTCTTTCACATACACTTGCTAATATATATATATACATACATATATCAGGTATGTTATGATTTGATAAAAATATATATGAAAAGGTTGTAGGTAAACGGACGAGATTAAAAATAATGTCTTTTTCGAGTAGTTACTGGGAAGTATATGTACGAACGGATGGACAAATTTAATTTAAAAGGGCACTATATGGGTAGGTATACCGCGCTGTGTATAATTCTTTATTCTCCCAAGGGCAACAATCGGGTCGTGTATTTATTATAACCCGAAAGCGCCGTTCTGACAGAAATCCATTGCGCTCTCGGTATGATAACAATCTACTATTGTGGGCGCTATAGAAAGAGAACGCGCTGTGCATCAACTGTAATATACATTAGGTAACGGCTGATGGACTAAGGGAATATTACAGTTTTCGGGTTCTAATCTAAGAGAACGGCCAAAAAGCGAACAATTCGGAGTTTCTAGACTCGATGGGACGTCGGAATGTTATCACTTATATACATGCACTGCAAGAAGCCCGTATTATGTGCCCCGACAATTTACTCTCAAGAGATGAATCGCAGCCACTCCAGAGGTCCTATCACACTTCTATTATTACTTAATTATTAACTCAACGCGGCTTATTTGTTGAATATATATATATATTTAATAAATCATATAAATGACGAATCTTAATACATCTCTTTGTTCTCAAAAATGTGCGTATGTAGTTTTTCCCTCATACATTACTTTGTTGAACACCTTTGCAAACCACTGAATTATATTGTTACTTTGTAATGCTTTCTCCAGGGCTGCGTACTATACCTATTCGGTTCTAGTACTTTTATCTACTTAATTTCATTTATAACTTTTTCAATAACATATCCTATAAGGTCCTGCTCGCGAAATTGTTTACTTGAATTATACCTATTTCGGTTTTAGGGACGTGCTTTCCAGGAAAGATCTTACACCTTCCAGAGTAGTCTGATGAGAATAATTTTTTATTGAAAAGATTTGCATTCGACTTCGATTTTTGATTAAGTTACTACTTATTGAGAAACAAAGTAAATACAAATTTTGCAATAACTAGTCACCTCAAACTCTTATTATAGCGCGTTTAGAAAAGCTAAGTCCCCCCGTAAGAAGGAGTTTCTCTTTTCAACAACAACAAAATACAAATAATTGTAATCCGATTACTCTACTCTGCGAAATGTTAGAGTTTTTACTGTTTTACACAAAAAACAAGTCACGCGCAGGGTCTTAATGGTTGGAAAATTAAGTTTCAACCATTTAATTCCACTCTGGTTTCTCATGAGTTTATTTTTTCAAAAATCCTTCATTCAATAATCCATTAACATATTGTTTTCATTCCTCTTTCGTATTTTCAGCTCATACCATCAATGTTTTTGTTTTATCATTCGGGTACCTTTAATTTTAAATGTCTAAGCTTATTATTATATCTATTCTTCTGTACGCATCTATTAATAAACACTTAGTTTTAGGACTTTAAAATCGCAGCATTATGAATAAAAGATGTGCGACATTGTGTCCTCCCTCTTTTTCATGTATTACATTTATTTACTCTGCCTCTCACTCTTCTTCCACCTCCCTTTATCCTCTTCTCTTTCTATATTTTATACGTTTCATTTACTCTTTCTTTTTTTTGCTTTTATTCCACTTTTATATTACCCTACCTCTCTCCGTCTTTCATTTTATATTTTTATTAACTTCTCTCCCTTCCTTAATTTTCTTTTTCTTTATTAACACATCACTCTCTCGTTATTCATATATCTATCATTATTATTTTGCTCGACAGATGTAAGAGTATACGAAAAACCAGATTTCAAAAATGTAAAACATATTCTTTGTTATATAATTTCACATATTTTTGGGTGCAATTGTCGAAATTTGTTTGAAAACAAATCATAATTCATAAGTTATGAAATTAACAATTTTTAAATTCCAAATTAACGAAGCAATACATTGGTTTATCGTAAATAAAATAGGGCGTTGTTATAATTATATTTTGGTTAAAAAGGAATTGAGGTTTTATTTATCAAATAAAAGAATATTAAATATTCAATAGTTATATTAAAATAACATTATTATTGTTATTAGGGAATATTCGGTTATAATAGGTATACGGCAGAAATGTTTTGCGGCTTGAACACACACCACAAATAGTTTGCACCTCGAGAACTCCATTTGTAAGGGGTAGATCGGTGACCAATGAATTTAATAACGGGGGAGTAGTAACGATAATACGTGTAGCGTGAACCCCTAAACTTTTACAGTTAAATCTTAAGATACTTATTGTACTAATAAGCAAGCTGTCACCATAGTCCCGAAGTAACTACTATACCACATCATGTCCCTTAATAAGTATAAAACTAGCTTTTTGAAATAAAGTACCTTAGTACTTAAAAGTTTATCTCTAATCGTTGAGTAATACTACTAATTACTAGTTTTTACTAGTAAATTAGCTAATTATATTATAGGATGTTTATCGGTCTTAAAACTAATATGTTCACAACTTTATCTATTGACATTGGTGGAATCCACCAACCATAAGTCCAAGTCTTCGAAGCACATACTAATAAATTAGTAACAAATGGTATTAAATAAACAACTTATTGCATACACCTATGTTTTAATAAAAAACAATATGGTAAGAAACATATTTTTTGTCCTAAATATTGAAAACTTATGCCGTTTAAACTCTGAAATGTATAGTTAATATTTTACTAAGGTATATAGTTAAATTATTTTGTTTTCTATCAACTAAATTCCATTTTAGTCATACAAATCACTAAAATTATTACTTTGAATTGTTTTAAATATTATTTCCTCTTACAAAATTTTCGACAAGATACCTGTAATTATTGGTCTAGCATCCTCAGTGATCCATGTAAAATGTGTTTAAAAATTAAGGGGTCAGCGGATAAAGGTGTTAACTGAAATTTTTTCGAAAATGAATTTTATTGCATGAATAAAAGTGTTATAGTGCAATAAAAACATTATATCAGCCGGAAAAGTTGTTGATTCATGGTTACATAGTTATTTCATATATTGAGTAGGTATGTACGTTAGACATAAAACATAGCATTTATAAACATTGAAGAGTTACAGATTTTAATAATATTTATAAAAAAAAAAAAAAAAAGTCTAGTAAAATCAACTGATTTTATCACAAAAATTGTAATTTTAGCAGGAAATAGCCATTAAACTAAACCAAGATATGTAATTAAACCTTTAGAAAAACATATATTATCTATTTAATGGTATCGAATCTTCATTTTTGAAAAAAAAAAACTGTTAGTTACGCGGTATTGCAGTTACAGTTACAAGTGTATAACATATCTGATCGTCTATTAATCAATTATCGTTTCTCGAGATATTCTAATTGAATCATTTATTATAATGCATGCGTTAATAAAAGTCATATTACCGCAGAGCCGGAGATAGAAAGATCCTTGACAGCGGCGGCTAATTCCTTGGCAGTGACGGCTAATTCCTTGGCAGTGACGGCAAATTCCTTGGCAGGCAGCGACTGAAAGGTATCGTACAGTAAACGATACTGAATTTAGATAATGCACGCAAGTCGCCTGGAACACCCTCAGAGAACCGCCAACAGCGCGCCAGTGGAAATTCTGATAGGCCAGCACCACCCCTAGAACGACCACCCTGCCTCGTCTCGAGCATAGTTTAAGATCGAATTAACATATTTGATTATTACAATTTCGTCTAATGGTTTTATCACGTGCGTCATACTGGACATTTTTCTTCTGTACCAATTTACCTTTTTTTTTTTTATCCATCTTCCCATCCCGAATACATTAAATGTATAATTTGGGATTTGAAATATTAAAAAAATATGTAAAATATTAAAATATATGCTACATTGGATAATGATATAATTTTGCCCTGATGGGACGGCGGAATTGTACGTTAGACACATTAATGATTTATACATTGCAGTAAATTTAACACAGATGGGTAGTATCTAATATACAAGGCTTTGAAATAATTCAATGCCCAATTCTTATAATTTTTTTATGTATTGTATGATTATAATATTTAATTGTAGTATAAAATATATTAAACGTCTAACTGGGTAAAGCCGGGTATAATAGCTAACCAAAACCAAAATCATGTTAATGTCGGCTACGGGTAAAGCTGGGTAAATTTAAATTCACTCCTAAAAATAGTACAATAATACACGTATGTTAAAATATGTAGTCGAATTTAAATTTAGTATTCCTAAAATCAGACCTGAATGGTTATATGTTTGTTATACCTAGTAAATGTACATTTTATATTACTGTTTTTTTATTTGTTTCCTTTCAATCGATAGTAATCTATTTAAAGAATAAAAATCGAAAATATCAGAACCCTAGCTCAACTGAGTACTTTTTTATAATATTTTATTTTGCATTCGATAAACATGAGAAACTATAAATCTTAATTGAAAAAATTCTAATTTGATATCTAATTCAATTTTTTTCAATTTGAAATAAGATACTTAATACTAAAATATGAATCTTAAAAATAACTTTTTTTATACTTCGTAAGTTTTTGTATTTTTAAGTTATCAAGTTTTTATTTGAATTAATTTCAATGGACTGTAACTTGATCAAAACAATTTTTATCGTGAAATATCAAAGTAGTATTTTTGAAGTTAGAATGTTTTAAATGAAAAATTAAGCTTAATCAACTTTCCTCTTTTTCCTTTTTTTTCGCACTAATTGTACTAATATTATAATCGAGTTTTCTTGAAAATCGTTGGAAAAAAAATCAATCGAACTAGGTCGAATGAGTATTATCGACGCAGTTATCGATCAGACAGTGTCGTCGATCATTTGCTGGACCATTTTGTGCGGCCTCTCTTCGATGAGCACTTGCATGACTTTCACCCGACTTGGGCCGTCCAGCAGATATTGATTATCCACCAGTCTCTTGAGCATATGGCCGGCTTCTACGACGCAATTGTAATTCCAGTGGTTGGTATAAACGACGGCCAAGGCTTCGGCGACGGTCTGGGCTTGCACGCTATCCAATCTGTTCTCGTCGACTAACCGACCGCAAAATTCAATGGTGGCGTCGCAAACGACAAAATTGTCATTCCTCAGCAACTGGGCCAAATGCTGTACGGTCCTTTGCCGTACCTGGGTCCACTGCGCTTCCCCGCAGCTTTGGCAAATGGCGAACAGCATTCGACACCAAGGCAAGTACAACGGCATGCCGGCGGCCGGCCAATGCGCCAGCGTGTACTCGACAAAAGCCACGGACAGGTTGGCGTCGATCTGGCGAACTGCCAACTCAAAGCACTCGTTCAACGTCAAAATATAATGGACCAACCCGTTTCGTTTCATCAGGGGAGGCAACACCTGTGTTTAAACGTAGGTTTTTTTAAAAATATATTTACATTTTTACAAAACTTCACACGGTCTGGATAGGGCCGTTGCGTTCTAGTCAGGGTTGGCATCAAATAGCCCGGGCTGTTTTGTTTTTGCCGGGCTAAATCCATTCTATGATTTTAAAAAAACAGGGGCTGTTTTCAGGTTTTTCCACTAAACTTTTAAAAATATTGGTACTTGAAAAGGACCGTTTTTCGGTATTTAATTAAAAAATAACCCGTCTTTGGTATTATTCTACTTTGGTAAGCTTTTTTAAGTAAAATTGCATGAAAACAATAATACTTATACAAGTACTATTCAAAATGTCTGTCAGGATAGTTCAGGTTAGCCTAACCTAACGAGGTTACTTACTTTCGCCAAATTATTGGTCAGATTTCTGTAAATTGTCAATTTGAATGGACAAATGCTACCGGTTTTCATAACTGTCAAGTGTGTAACTGAAGTGTTAAAGAAAGACGCCAAAACTTGTCAAGATGAATAATTTCATCATCGGTAATTTTAATATTACCTTAACCAGCACAGCCGGCACAATCAGCTTGCAAGTAATGTACGATTTCAATATTTCCAGCAATTCTTTAACGCCTTTGAACTCGTTGATTTGCACATAGCCATATTCGGCCAGAGTGTTGACGACCCCGTGGTATATGAAATCCCTCAAGTAAGGAGCCACTTGTAACAGTCTCAAGAGGATATGCTTTATCCATTCCCTTTCGGCTTCCACACAACTGTCGAGTCGCCGGATGGACGCGTTGATAAATTTTTTGTCAATATACTGAGATGCTTTTTCCGGGTCGAATCCTTTGAGGTCCAGGAACGCGTTGAACACACTGTACACCGGACTTAACTGATGAAATTCCCACATCATCTCATTGTTGATTTCGTCTTCGCCCGAGTAACACGACACAGGTAGTGAGCGAAAGACGTTTTCCGAAAACATAACTGCAAACAAAATAGAAAACGTATTATCGATCACAATAATATTAGGTATGTCGTCGCTTAAGATGCAAAACCTCGCATCTCGTTTTTTGGCCAAATCAAGTTGGCCACACTGTTATTTGTGTTATGTACATAACCTTCAACACCCTTTACACAAACACACAACTACACATAAGCATATTTATTACTCATATTATAATGATGTCACTCTGTTAAATATAAAATAACCGCACATCTATTATAATTGTAAAACGTGACTAATGGTCAGTATTAAACTACACCAGTATAATTATCTAACACAATGATTAGATAAAATTACAAATATATATTTCATATACAGAAGCTATTCGGTTTCCGTTCCGCTTAATTAAACTATATGGGAAAAATATGTTATTACCATTTTATCGCAAATTAATACTAATTAAAATAATCATCCGATGTGCGTCCGCCCATCAATAAGCTAAAACCTACACAATTCCCACAATAATACATTACACAAATTATCATGTCCATATAAATAGGAGTAAGATCCATTGCTAAACCAGACGAATTACCAAACTCAGTATACTACTCTGTGGCAGTTTGTCCATTTTATGTTTTACAAGTGTTAATAAAAATCAAACTTATTTTTAAAAAATCTTCAATTATTTAAAAATACATCTTCCTGAATTGGTTTCGACTTCGAACAACAAATCAATTTCTTAATAGTTCTGGTACCAGTGACTAGAACTATTACATTTGATTCAATTTTCGCGGGCAATTCAATGATGGGCTCAGTATTGTGACAAAGCCAATAGGTAACGCTATAATCGAATAATTGATAACACGGTTGTAATTGCTATGGAATGGTAATTGTAACTGATTTTTTCTGCTCTCCTGTAAAGTTGAGAAAAATGAGAGCATGAGGTGTTGCATGTTGAGCGACAGTGTTAAATGTGGCCGAGTCATTAAGTGAAAATATTTTGGATGGAGAAAATCAATTATTAGCTGTCGGACAGCCGTTTCCGGGAAAGAATGGTCCAGCCCAGATGTGTTTGCTAATGAAGAAATGTTGAAAACGATCACTTTAGTTCTAATATATTTTTGTCTAAAATACAATATCGGGCCTTTGTATTTGTGTAGTATTTTAAAAATCCCTATCTTGAAGTATACATACTACATAGTACTATCACGTTTCAATAGTTTACCACAAATTTGTTTATACACTTCAGAAGGATAGACACAGTCTTCGATTTGATTGTTGGACCACACGGATTTTAGATTGTTCAAGTAGGCGATCTTTTGTTTTAATTTTGGATCGTCGATAATTGTCGGCACCGAGAAATATTTGGAACACACTTTGAGTACACTCACAATTGTTTCCACCGATTCCATATCCTCGTTGAAATAATAAACCATCAAGTCCTGTTGGTCTTCGCCAAGAAAATAATTTGTACACTCAACTACTGTACACCATGTTGTGCATATTTCCTATGCATTTATTTTGAATGAAAATTAGTTCTCGGTATTTGAATAAGACACAAACAATTTTTTTATAAACACGTCTGTAGCAATGTATGTATTAAAATAGGCCAAATAGTATTTATCGACCTGTCGTGTAAAATTTTATTAGATGAACGTTTTCCTATATTTTTTTCTTAATTTTTCAAATTATATTTTTATAATAATTATAGTCACTGCCAACATCAGTTTTCGAAAAACTATTTTTTTTACTATTAATATATTAATGTTTTCATAAATTGTACTTTATAACGTCTAAATTAGAGCCAATAATACATTTTTTTTTATCAAAATAATTAATTAATTAATTTAAAAAAAAATACTAGTCCGATCCTCTTTTTTTACTGATGATTTTTTTATAAAATAACATATGTTTCAAATTAATACTTACGCCTAAAAAAAGCAAAACGTTTTCTGAAAACCGATGTTTGCAGATGCTAAAAATAATTTTAAAAATCTAAAAAAATAAGATTATGTTTTTTTGACCGCTGGAACAAACTGTCACAATAGGAACCAAATAAACACTTTTTGGACTACTCTGAATTACAAACATATATATTATACTAAGCTGTTTTTTTACACCATATTTTTTGTTCTTCCTGAGGCTTACCCTTTCAATTGATAGTAGCCCATTAAAAAAAATCAGAAGTACATTGTTATGACTCTTTTTTTTTATTTAATAAATATGGAAAATTTTATTTTTTCATCTACAAATTTCTAGTTTCAAAAATAATTTAATGTAAAGCTAAAACATGATATCTGAACATACTTAGCAATTAAGATTAAATAATACTATAATAATATAGTAGTTAGAATTACAAAATAATATATAAATAAAAACATTGCAATCACAATTATATGGTTAAAATTGTATTTATACGATTAAGATTGATTGTCATTCTATAATAATGTGCTGTCATGATCACGGTTCCAGTGGTTAGGTGAACAAAAATAATATAAGGTCTTCATTTTAATTCACGTGAATACTATTATTAAATACCTAGACTTCTTATGACTGTAGCAGCGATTTAACCGTCAATGGCAAACTTTGTGAAATAATAATTTGTCATGCTTTGTCCGATATGTTCAAAAGATTTTACACATTTCTCTATAATTTTCCCTGCTAATGAGAGAATTGCCAAACTTTCTCTTAACATCCGTCTCTCTTGTCTTTCAAGTTTGGAATTTAAATTAGCGAATTGAATATCCTATTTCTGGATACAAAGAGAAGACGACAATAGACTTTGTCTATATGCAAAACACGTTTCCTGCATTACAGTTCACAAATCACTGAACATTAGCTATCCCGTCGGCCGAATAGCATGCACTAATTAAATGATAAACTAGAAGCACGAAACTATAACTCTGAATCGAGATGATTCAATTATGGTCGAAAATTTCGAATTTCAGATTTATTCGTCTGTAATGATATTGCATCAATTTTGTGAAACGGCGCCACCATAACATTCAAGTGTAAAACGTTAAATGTCTTTCTTGTTCAACGATTTTCATGTTAAAATATACCACGTTAAAATAATTCTGAGATAATTTCACTGATAATCTAGAAAATGTATAAATGAAGCGTTAGAGAAAATTATGATAATAATAAAGACGTAGATGTTAAATAAATTAGTAAAATACCTAAGACAAATAATATGGTAATATTAAAACGGGCATTATCTCAAAATAACATAATTCGAAAGTCTCAATATTTTATAGTAAAATAAATATTACAAATTTAATAAAAGATTCTTGTATCTTCAATTAATAATATTATTTTTTGGGACAATTACGCCATCTATAAACCGTTTGTTTAATTTAAATTTTATGTTTTTTAGTCACATCTTTTTCTAAACACACAAAACCTCTTTGAGTTCACTATTCATATATTTTGTATACAGAAAAGTTATAGATTTATTGTAATGAATATACTCGTTTGATAATTTATTCTTTTTCGTTCTTTTATTAACTATGACTAAAAGCTGAAATAAACTAGATGTTTTTGAGTTTTTAGATAAGTACAAAAGTATTTACTCTAGTTATTAACCTAAAATTATCTCCGTAGAACGACATGTATAATTTACTATCTATAGATTCCCACCGAAACTTTTAAAAATTCCAATTTGTTTTCAGTATTAATTGTTCCAAAAATCCGCGACAGCCCTCAGTAGCATACAATTTTTTTAAACACTCGCAGCTTAAAAAATACCAGTTTATTATTAAGTGAACCTCCTTTACAAATATAGTATTTGTTTGATTACCAGAATATTTTTTTGCATAAAAGTCTATGTCTAGCACCTGGCAAAAAAAGGTTGGTATTGATAAAATCTACGATGTGTAACACCGATGAGTTACAAAATTAAATTGTGTAAACATTTTGGCAATGTTTTGTTTTCAAATACAGGAACACTATTTTAAGTGTTTTTCTTGTTTTTTTTGAAGGGTAAGAAAAAACGTTTTTATATTTTTGACCTTATAGAGATATTTTTGTACATATTTTCTGATGTATAAACTTGTTACATAGAGAAATCGGTCTGGTGGTAAATGTATTATGGTTGATACACAAACAATTTATTATAGTAACAACATAATTAATAACGGCCCCAAAAACATTTCTACTTTGTATGACCTTGCAAAATTTAGCACGTCTAAGTCGAAACTAGTCAAACCAAAAGGTCAGATATTTTTTTAAAATAATTTTCCCGATGAAAGGTACGATTTGTGATTAAGAGATGCCACTCTATTTAATCGGTATACCAAAAATAGTTCTAGGGCTCAGAGACATTTAACAAAACGCATCAATGTAAAACATATTTTCTAGAAAAAGAGTATTTTGCATGTTAATATTAACGCCTGGATTTTATTATAATATTTTCGGATTACAAAATAACAAAAGCATTCCACCAATACGTCGCCTAAAGCTGTCACAAACATATTTTACGATAAAATAGTATTATTGTTGTTATTGACATGTTGTTCTTCGATAGTTCCCAATAAAACCAGTCACTGTGCTACATTGAAAATAGTATTAAAGTTATATTGTTAATTCCAATTGAAATTCATAGATAAGGCCTACTTTACAGTTTAAAAGACGAACTTAAAAAGAAAAAAAAATGAATGTGAAATACATATTTATTTTGTGTTTTGTAATAAATTACTTAGTAATTAAAAGTGTTGCGGACGAGCCCGAAGAAGAAAAGCAACAACAAATCCAGGTAATTTTATCTCTGTGGTGAAAACACACTCTTAAAATGTATAAACTTACTTTTATTTTTTTTTTTTGTGAATTTATTTAAACAAACATTTATTGATACAGAGCCGATTTCTAGCTTGTATCACATGATGGATCGTTAATGACTGTGTGATTTATTTTGTTCTCTGGTCTAAACGCATTCAAATTGTGAAATGAGTTTCTTATGCAACGAATTATAATGATATTAGTATAATTCAATTTCAGCTTAGAGATCATGTGTTGTCATTAAATAATTCTTTAACCATCAGTTCTGAAGTGCAGTCAAACATAAAGCAACTTGAGGACGAGGTAATTTTTTTAGATGATAAATATTTAATTTTAAGAAATTGATCAAAATATTTCATTTGTAATGACATATATACGTATTAGTTTCATACATTAACGAGTATATGTCTAGTATGTTATTGCCGGTGTATACTATTCTTGGTGTAACTTTCCCCACAAATAATTTATTCCATTATGATTGAATACATAATTTTCTGGTTTTAATAGTTTTCTGATCTAAACGCATTCAAATTGTGTAATCAGTTTCTTGTGCAACGAATTATAATGATATTAGTATAGTTTAATTTCAGCTCATGAATACCATTTTTTTAACCATTTTACTTATAAATGATTTACCTGGTGAACCTAATAGTACTATTAGTCTGGATATGTTTCGTAACTACGTGAATGATGCCGAATTAAGTAAAACTATATTAAACAATTTTTATTTCGACGGCACACTTTCTGATATAACTAAAAGTAAGCATGAACTATACTTCATTTATAAATAAATATAATTGAAAAAGTTAAATTAAAATAGAAAAGGTAATGTGTTAGTAAAAATTTGTCGCGTTTGAAATTTGCCTAAGCTGTTGTACAGAAGCCAATGTACAACTGCTCTTTATACTCTAAAAATGTATATCAATTAATAATGTATTTTTAAATTACATGGAAATGTATTTCTTTTTAGACGAAATGACTCGTGATAAATTTAAGTATATCATAAGAAGTGCAAGTACATTATACGAGATGGGAGTAAATAAATTCACTGGACAATTAAACGCTAAATTTAAAGAACATTTTAAAACGTAGTCATAATAATAACTCTAAATTAGTCTGTTGTTTGTAAAATTTACAAATGTTAACTACGAATATAATAAAATGTATTTAAAATATAAAACTATTAAAATTATTTATTTATTTGTATAAAGCATCGAGCAAGGGTACTGAGTACAGTGCAAGGTATACTTACCAATACGATTGCTGCACAAAATATTGAAGAGTATAATCATGTATAATAATCTATATAATAAAATACAGTAATAAAAGTGTAATGTACGGTTTATCGGCTGATTATAGTTGTAGTTTTGGACTTATGAGGAACATTCCAAAAATGTATAACGTCTGGAATTATAAGAAAGCATGCAAAAGAATAAGAGTTACTATCAATTTCTTTAATTAGTAGTTTGTATAAAGAAACAGAAATCATTCAATTGTCTGAGTTTGTAAAAAAAAATTATTTAACACCATTAGCGACTGTATACAAATTAGTACCACCATGAATTTCCGTTCTATATTTTTATAAGGAAAACATATAATAAACGACGTTGAATTGAATCTAAAAAAACAGTAAGTGTTAGATAGTTGTGAAGTGGGTTCCTGATCTGCCTCTGAGAACAGAAAGGTAAGCTAATTTGGCAACAAGTAAGAAGTGTTATCAGCTAGTAAGAGATAAGTGATAAGAAATAAGAAGTGTTGATAGTAGCTCAATTTAGTGACATCGTAGAGGCAAACCATTAATCCACAAGGTGGAAGTAAACTTATAACTTATAACAGTTCCAAGATTCCAAGAAGAGATTAGAACCACACATTAAACTTTGAACCATTTACTATTGACTCAAGAAAACGCAGTGCAGTACCGGTTCAGTGTTATTGTATTTATCGTTCAGTGTGGTATGGCTTCGTGTAAAAGTTCAAATATTTTGTTGAAATTAAAATTTTTTAATTACCAATAACAATATTATTCTAAAACAATCATGGTTTATAAATTTAGTGACAAACTCAAAGCATAATTAACTTATTGATTGATTAAGAATTAACTTTTTGACGAGTGTTATACCTTGTGTATAAAGTAAAACACATTTTTGATTAATGTAGATAATAATATTCGCAGATGTTTATTATGAAACCCAAATAACAAGAATGACGAGATGTGCCGATGTAGCACTCGCCACCATATATATTTATATAAACTGCTGATACGTAACACTTCTTTCCTTTTTTTAATATTTAAAATAAAATCAAAAATAATATACTCAATCATAATTACATTTTTAATAATATATAGATAGACAATACAAATTATTATAAAAGCAATATCAAATTATCATATTTAGTACAAAAATAATAATTATGTGTAGTAAACATGTTTTTATAATATGCAAAAATAATACAGTAACATACTTATTTATAATCACAAGGAGAAAAACGCTGAATAGGGTTTTAATTCTAACAGGTCAAACAGGTCTAGGATGTTAGAATTTCCTTTTTATACGCTTTGTCAAAATTTGGTGACCAATTCCATTTAATATCCCTATATAGAAGCAAATAAAATGGTTTTAAAATATCTGCTGCGTTAGGTATAAATTAAATATAATATGTTACCAATCCTAAAAACGATTTTAGCATTACCCTTTGCAGGGTCCAAAACGTTGGTTAACAACCATTGACGCGGATATATCAGAAACACATTCAGATTTTAGCATTGTTTTATTTTTTGGAATTTGAGCTAAAGAAATAGCGTCAGTGTGTTTTGACAATGTGTGCAAGGCTTGCTCATCAATTTTATGACCTGGATATTCAATTGACTTTTTGAGAAAACAACATTTATTTCTTTTAACTCTTAAGCCATATTCTGAAATAACATTAAGTAATTTTTTTAACCTATCGTTATGTTGCTCTATCGTTTTACCCGCAATTATTACATCATCTTGAAATACACCTACGCTTTCTAAATTTGCAGTGGCAAGCTCCATAGCTTTCTGAAATTCATCTGCTGAACTTTTTATACGAAATGGATTTCGAGTGTAACTGAATAAACCTTTGTGTGTGTTAATGGTAGTATATTTTCGATCTGTCTCTTTAATTACCATATACTGTTGCTACGCATTTTTAAGATCAATTTTAGAAAAATACTTTGAACCGCTAATGTTTGCGTATAGATGTTCTATTTTAGGTAATGGGTACTCCGTTCCCTCTAAAACTGGGTTAATTGTAATTTTAAAATCACCACAAATTCTTACTGTGCCGTCAGGTTTTAAAATTGGAACAATAAGTGTTGCCCATTCGCTGTAGTCAACAGGAACTAGTATTTGATTGACTACTAAACGATTTATTTTTGTCTCTACATTACTTTTTAACGCTAAAGGAGCTGACCTGGGTTTGAAAATTTGGGTATAGTCCCTTTTTTAATATTTAATGAAATTTCATATTTATTAAATGACCCCAAATCATCTTTAAACAGTTCTTTAAAGTTTTTTAATATTTGATTCAATTATAAATTATCACTGTCATTTACATTTTTATATAAGGGTGAGTAGTTAATTGTATGCGAATCATTTCTACCTATTAATGGAGGGCCTCCCTTTTCAATGACATAAATACACATTTTAAAAGCCTTGTTCGAATATTTCGAATTTACCATGACTGGTAAGGTCACCGATAGGTAATATCGGGCTTATGTTATGTCTTACATAATCGTATAATGAAATATCGTTGTCTTGTAAAACTATAGTACTAAAGTTAGAGTCATACATTTTTTTGGATATAACACTGTACTTAGACCCCGTATCTATTTCAAAATTACAATTTTTGTTTTCAATTGATAGGTTAATTGTATAAGGCTTTATTCTATTTTGATAATTATGTTGTTCCCTTATACAAAAAAAATGTACCAGATAATCTATACGTAATATCATTTACATTCGAATTCTGTGATGTAAATTTATTTTGGGAAGACTTATTATATTTTGGTTGATCATTCTTACCCTTTTTAGTACACATAGGAGCCAAGTGACCTTTGACATTACAAATGTTACAGCTGTAGTCCTTGTATTTGCAGTCCTTTTAGGCGTGGTTTGAACGACCGCATACCCCGCACCTTGGTTTATCTGAAGTTGTCTGACGATCAGCTGGTCCGATCTCAGCCATTTTTTTCTTTCAAAGTAGCCTCTTTGGCAGTAGCATTTCTGAGGGATAACATCGAATTGAGTTCATCCTACTTTTAGTTATTTGAATCCCGTTTCGTATCTTAATATGTTTGAATTGATTACGTAGATAAGATCGTAAGCATAGTCTCCTTTGCTATTATTAGGAGGGAATTTGCACGGATTATATTGAATTGAGTGCCAAATAAACAATGAAGTTGGACAGTTTTCCCCCAAAATTTGGTGACTTTTTTTAGCAAGCACTAATCGGACAACTAACAGTTGTGAAAGTTTTCATGCAAAATTAAATGCATTGTTTCACTCAGGACATCCGAATATTTTTATTCTTGTTGTCACTCTTCTAGGCATACAGTCAGATACCTATATTAAATTACGAAGCAATGCAACAACAAAAACATGTAAAAAAACATTGGAAAAAGTACAATTTTTACGGGAGCAGAATATCAAATATCAAAATAAAAAAATTAGCAGATTTGACTACTTAAAATCTGTTTCATTTAAATTTTTACCAGCAACTATTTAAACTCGGACATTGTTTTAATTATTTTTAAAAATTATTAAAATTGAAAGTTTTTTTTGACCATTTATAAACAAGCAAAGCATTTGTAAGCAAGCACACACATTTTTGGGAGACTAATCAGCCAACCTCTACGTGGTGTCTCCTCGATAACGATAATAGGCTGAAGGGACTCAACTCAAACAACCAAAAAAATATTTGTTGGACTCAATTCCGACAACCCAAAAATATTCGTAGGACTCATTTCAATATTTGGGACTCAATTCAATATCACCGTTTCTGAGAGGCTTGTGAATGTTGTGCTTACTTTAGAAGCATCTTCTTCAAATAGTCGGTCTTGCAATTTTTCCGGATTCATACCCACTACAAAAATGTCACGGATGACAGTAGACAAGTCTGACGAGAAATTGCATTTAGATGCAAGGTTTTTACTCGTTCGCACTTACTACGTCCTATACTAAAATCCAAACTCCCGCTTCATAACAAAATTCTTATTTATAAGTCAATGTTAAGACCAATTTGGTCATACGGAGCTCAAATATGGGGTTGTGCCAAACCATCCCAACTAAAAAGAATAGAAGTTTTCCAATCGATTTCCCTCCGTACAATCACGTCCGCCCCATGGTATGTTTCCAACCTCACCCTTCACAATGACTTACACATCGAATCAGTTGAAAATTTAGTTAAGACTCATTATAAAAAAATTCCACTCTAGATTACTCGAATCCATTAATAGCAAGCCAACACACAGCTACTATCCCAAAAAAAACCCTCGTCGTCTTAAGAGACATTGGTGTCGAGACCTCCTAAATTGTAATGCTACCGTTTAAGTTGTAGCCGAAACCTGTCATAGGGTCCTATCACTGGATAGCTTCCCTACTCATAGTCTACAAGTCATTTATTACATTGTTAGCATATTTTGTATGTACAGATTGTAAATGTTATTTAAAAAAAAAAAAAAAAAATGCAAGGTTTTTGACTCGGGCACCCCATTCAGCAACTGTTTCATCTGTACGTTTATTGGCTTGATAATACGCATGTCTCGCAGCGAAGTAGGACTTTACTGGCTTATAGTACTTATTTAAAAGACCAATAAGTGTAGCATAAGTCTGAGTATGTGGTGTGCTTGGAATGCATAAACTGAATAAAATTTTATGAATTTCTTTACTTACTGATGAAAGTAATATGGTTTTCTTTTGAACTTCGTTTTCGATTCCGTTTGCCAAAATCAAATTTATCAGCTTAGATTCGAATATGATCACGTCCATTTCCGGTTCAAATGTTCCGGGTGTTCCAACTACTTGATTGAATTTAATTGTTTCTTTGGTTTCAACCATTTTTTTTATTAATTCACTGAACTTCTTATAAACGTAAATAATTTTAACTTACCATTAATTTTTTTTTTATAAATTCACTGAACTTCTTAGACACGTAAATAATTTAAATTTACTTTTAATAGACAGTATGGTCTATGTGAGAAATAAAGAATTTTCCTCGTCGCCAATTTATTATAACTTATGTATAATGTAAAACACAATTTTGATTAATGTAAATAATAATATTCGCAGATGTTTATTATGAAACCCAAATAACATGAATGACGAGTTGTGCCGTTGTAGCACTCGCGTATGGTGGACAATCCCACCATATATTTATACCACTATATATTTATATAAACTGCTGATACGTAACAACGAGTGAATAATTTTAACCGTTTTACCACTTCATCCCTTAAATTTGTCATTATTAATGATTAATGTAAGCAATTCTATAAACTCGATTTTTTTTTTAATTTGTACATAAAGTTAATTTAAATGTTAATGTTAAGAGGACGCCACATCGGCCATTTCTAAGGAGTAAAGTATAGGCAATTTTTTCGAAAAATCTTAATTTAGAGTTTGAACTCTATACTTAACTGTATACTTATTAATACAGTATTGAGGATACTTTGTTGATTGCAATTTTTTTTGTCAGACTATCACAGTCATTTCTATAGGATAAAATACAATTTTTTTGCCATCAAACTGCTTTGCGCGAATTAATTTTTCCCAGGCTTCATAGATAGTTAAGGAAATAAATTCATACATATAATTTATGACAAAATTATCTATTTTCCGTCATCCGTATTTTTTCTATACACCTAATACAACCAACGCTATATCATTTTTAAAAAAGTCAAAAAAGTCTTTTCTTAATTAATTAATTATTCATTAACTGGTTGAAATTTTGAAAAAAAGGCGATGGTGGAACACAGACAATATTGTTGTCTGTATTATGAAAAAATTTGGTTTCTTAGTTTTGATTATAGCCTTTGTAAAATTAATCCGCCCAAGGCGGGTTTTTTGAAAAAAATAACGGGTATGTGACGTCCTCTTAACATTATTTTTTCTGCAGATTTCTCTGCAATAATTTTAAATTATAAGTACGTTAATAATTTTTATCCTAAGGCTAATATGGCTAATTTAATTTTTTTAGATATATTATCATGGTTTAATAATAATTTCTTAGAGTTTAATTTAAATAAATAACTAAGCAAATACTTTTCAATATTCAAAGTAATTGTAGTATGTATAATCTAATCAAGAGGTCATTAAAAATTGTATTCCATGAATAAAAAGAGTTCTGGCGTTTTCTTTTTTTTATAAGATAGGTTTTAACACTATGGTAACCTTTAACCAGTCGTTGATTTCTTACACTTACCTACTTTTTAACGATTGTTTTTATGTAAGACGTTAGTAGTTGTTTCGACATCCGACAGTTTTATTGGTCTTTGCCTGGACCCGACTAATACATATCTTCAATCAATTATAAAGACCTAACTATAATTGTATGACTGAGCACTGGCAAATTATCATCTGACCCGGAATGTATTATCATCTAATAATTAACGTTACAAGTTGCTCGAATTAATAAAATTGTTTGAAACTCCATCTTGAACTTTGAAACGTAAAATTATTACGAACAAAATTCATTCGGTGTACTCGAAGCATATTTTTTATACCAAAAACTGTAATTAGTTCACATTCAATTTGAATAGGATTATCCGCATGGTAGTTGAACATTATGTCCTGGCAGCTGCTGTTTGCTGGCTCGGTCGTATAATATAATTATTAATAATAACATTAAAAGAACGTCAAGTTGCTCATGCCCATTTTGCAGAACGCTTTAGTCGGTTGAACAATAATTTAATAATAATTCAGATTTCCGTTTTAATTAAGCGTTTGTTTTAAAATACGCAATTTAATTTAAGCAGCTAACGATGTAAAAGCAATTCCCCTAAAATAGTTTCCATATAAAAAAACAACATTCAAATAATGAACACGGTATGTTTTTATTTTATATCAAGGAGTAAAAAAGCATCAGGAATTTTTTATGTAGTAGTGAATTATTATATTAATTTTTCAAACTTCCCTGTATGTATCTGTAAACTAATTATTGAAATTTAACGTTTGAGACAATAGCTCGTACTTAGAAAATAATTACTGTCTAGTCCACTATGTCAGCATCTTAACATCAAAATTGAAAGTGACATAAGCATACGTGGAAAATAATTTGATAAAATTATAAAATATAATAAAAATGTTCTATAAACATACTTTATTATTTTTATTGTTATCACTATTTAAATACAATTTCCATCATATTCTCCACGCAAATAATGCTTGAATTTACAGTCTGGATTATCATAATAATATTGAAATATTTCTATGAAAAAATCATATTTTCATATATTTTTAATTGACGGGGTTGTCTATTTATTTATTAAGTATTGTTTTGTAGAATTCTATCAGTCTGGAGAAAACTGATGTATTCGGATTGGTCAACTACTGCATGCCGAGCAGATTTCTTCATTGCATCTCCAATGATACACTGGCGATGGTAAGGAATTACCATTATGGTCTGAAGCAGTTATCTGCGGACTATCTGACGTCGTTCCCGATTTGTCAAACTAATAAAGAATTCTGACTGGGCAATGTGGAATGTTTCCAACAGTATTTTAAGGGGCTCCATACAGACCATTTTTTCAGTCAAAACACATCATTTTCATTCCATCGCACAGGCCTAAACAGTGATCCGATAAGCAATCTTAAAACAGATTTGAATTTTTCATGAAGTTTACTTAGGATCGGTCGAGGTACTTTTTTCAATTTTTAATTTTAACCCTTTCTAAATTTTATTTAAAATGTTGAAATTTTATATAATGTTCAAACGTGTTTTATACATTGTAGGAATAAAATATCAAAAAAGTACGTCAACCTATCTCAAGTAAATTTCATGACGAATTCAAATCTGTTTTCATATTACTTATTAAATCACTGGTCGAGCTTGCGCGATGGAACATAGAATGTATGTTATATTAACTAAAATGGCTTTTACTTATAGACAAATGATTTAAATTAAAAATAATACATTGAAGCTTATACAAATTAACCGGTAAATTTATTGACATGGTCGAAATTTATTTAAGCCAATTTTTTCATAAATATTGCCTATACAAAACTCCTTAAAAATGGTCTGTATGGAGCCCCTTAATAGTGAAAATTAATACTAAATTGATTTTTCTTAAAAAAAAAAAAAACTGTAGTAAATTTTAGATTTAATCGTTAGTTAGACAATTTAATTACAATTAATGTATGTAATATGTATTATCGTTAAAAATGTCTCGTACCTGTTAATCTAGCGCCATCTATAATAGTTAATTTGATAATTTTTTGTTTAAAACTTGTCATAATTTTGTCAGTATATCAAAGTAGTATATATGTATAATCGGGATTCCCCGTAAACTATGCACAAGCAATTTCTATTTTACTTTACTTACGTTTTTAGATGGCTAGCTATATACTGTTGGATAGTAAAACTCCTAGCGCTAACATTATTATATGAATTTGATATCAGTTTTTATTTTGGCCTACTGCATGCCTGTAAGCATTTTAAAAATGACTTAAGAAGAACTCGTTATAGTCTATAAAAATTAGAATGATGTATATACTCTATATTCTAATATATGCTTAAAAACTGACAAAAACCAAAAACTAGTAGGCGATGATAGATTTAATTTTTTTTTTAGTTGATAACTACAAATATAGACCTGTAACTTTCCTTGGTGGAACCCTGAACCACTCTTCGATATATCTACGATAAAAGTTTATAAAATATGTTATACCGCAGGAGTAGAAAAATTAAGTAAAAACTTTAAAAAATATTTTCCTATTATATGACTTGTATTATATTATCTGTGATTCATAGTTTTAAAATATAATCAACCTTTGGCCAAACATACTTAACTTGAGTGGTTTTTAAAAGGAATAGCAACTCGTTTTCTAAAATGTAGGTATAAATAATAATAAATAGGTAATAATAAAAAAATACTTAACTATTTAACTAGAAGTACCGAATTTATTCATACATTTTTTTTGAAAAAACAGTGACTCACCTATGTCGTTTTTGAAATGACCGATTCAATTATAAATTTGATGTTATGCGTGATTATACTATGAACTATTATGGTATAATTTTTGCATAAATAAAATATAGTACTACAAAATACGGTATTTAATGTATTCTTTTATTTTCATTTTTTTTTTTAAGTTAGGATATAATCAGTTTGTAATTTTTGAAATTAGATACATGAATTTTTATTTTTTATTGTAGACTTATTGCTTAATTAAAAAATCAGGGTTCCCTTTCCTGGTATTCCCTTGAATTTTTCATTTTCTATCCCGTTGATCTTGAGTGTACCTTCAGCCCATTGTATCGACCGTAGATCTTCTGCTTGAATTTCTGGGACGTATATGTCGTTGATAACGAGTGTTTCGCCATCAAACGACTGGGTTACAGAATCTAAGATGGTGACTACACCTATTGAAACGTTTTCAATAAATTAAATGTGATATAATGTATGATAATAACTCTACCGCGAGGTCGAATTAGACTTACCTGTACTAGTGAAATTCTGTACACCTTCTTTACATAAATACCCTATGTCACGTGACGCCACTTCTGGATCACCGTGGTAGTCATAATACACACCTTTTGCATATCTGTTACTGGGAGTCACACTGCGTGAAGTACTAGCTACTTCACTCGGTTTAATAATTGGTTCTCTCAGTCCAATTGGTTCACTCGGTTCAATTGGTTCACTAATTTCAACTGATCCATGCCGTTCAGATGTTGGTACTCTATTCAGTTTAATTGGCTGACTAAGTTCAATGTTATTGTTGACATCTTCATACATCCATTCATCATCTAAAACAAGGTGTTATCGACTGATATATCAATAATATAATCTTAAAAACGATGTAGCTCTCATCGTTTTGTAATCGAGTTTAGTTCTATTATTTTTAACTTCGATGAGGGGCTGAGGAGGTATTAGTTGTAATGTATGGGTTTGTTTTACAGTAGACACGTTAAATGTTGGAAATAATGCTGAAGTAATTATTTATTAGTTGGTTTTTTTTTACAACATTATAACTTTCCCAATTGACCGGTTTAAATGTTAGACGATTAGTCTCGACGAAAAGTCAACGACATCATGCTGCACTTTTTTTATTGACCCCAAAAAATAAAAATAAATTAGGGTAATTTAATCATATTTTGTTGTGTAAAAATATGAATAGATTCATAATTATATTAAATCGATTAATCGTCTGTACTGAGAAGGTATAAGGTATATTTAATTTTCTGTTATTTCATCCCGAACCACCAAAAAGCGATTTCTTTATGTAACAAATTTATAGATAAAAAAGCTTACCTAAAAGATTACTAACTCTAATACGACCAAAAATAAAGAAAAGAAATGTAACCAATTCTTTTCAAAGTCGCTAAAAATGTAAATGTACAATTTTTTCAATTTAAAATTACGGCACGCTATAGCTTTTTAAAAAATGGTTGAATTTTTTTAAATTGAGAGGGGTACCTTTTAGTTGATATTTTTTCTGATTTTTTGGTCTAAAATATACCACAATGGCTTTTACTCATAGAAACAATATTTGAATTAAAAACCATATCTTAAAACTTATAAAAATTTACCGGTAAACTAATTGACATTGTCGAAATTTATTAAAACCTCTTTTTTCTTAAGTATGGCCTTTTCACAACTCTTTAAAAATATACCGCATGCAATCCCTTTAACTACGAACAACAATGATTAAAAATATTAATCATGACTGAAAATGTTTATCGTGATCAATATTTATATAGTCATGATTAAATTTAATTAATCGCTTTTAATAATTAAATTAATCAGTATTCGTATGATTATTTATGATGTATAAATAATCAACTTTTATTTAAAACATTTATTTAAATTAAAATATATTATTTAAATAATGCGCAACTTTGCCGACATGAGGCCGCAATTTATTTTCAATTTAATTTTTAAAGCAAAATAATAATAACAAAACAGTTTACTGTGGAAAATAAGGATTTTATTTTTGCCTAATATTTTTTACCGTACGTAATTTCTCATCCAATGTTATTTCCAAAATTAGTCACGATAATAATTACTAAAAATCTCCATGTCACCAATATACTTTGACCCCACTATGCCCCGACTTCGTTGAGTTATAATTTTTTATACCAAATCTTATATTATATAATTACCATCTAAGCTGCCTGCTAATGGTGGTTCCTCGCCGCCACTACACCTGAAACGCAAACGTTTATATTTAAATAAAAATGAATACACGAAAACTCTAGATTTGATAAAATATTATCACTCTTTAAAAAAAAAAAAAATAGAAAAAAATACTTACGCCACGTATGCTGCCAGACTAAGCAAGAGAAAAATTGTACTATTCATCGTGTTAACTGTTATAATCTGTTATGAACTATTTAGTTCGACTCTACTAAAATATTCAGTGTTTTCAGTATTTATAATACCAAAGTCAACGAGTCTAGAAATGATTGACACATAGTTGGGGGTACGGATGATTTTAAGTTTTTGCGCACGAATAAAATCCATATTTACATTTGTTTTCAAGAAAATATAACTGTCCATAAGAACACATGAGTTGTTTATGAGCATCTTATAGACATTTTTGCGGATATTAATTTAACGCTCGAGCACTTTAAAATAATTATACTAAAAAATATGTATTTGCTTAGTGCATAATATTTTTTCAAAGAATTTTTTGCTCGTAAATCGTACACAAAAGGTACTTTGTAAATCGAAAAAAAAACTTCACTACTTTCTTAAATCGACGATTTTGATACGTTAATGGTAATTTAATTGTTTAATAGTTTAATATTACTATATTTTACTTTTTAAACATTATAAATTTCCGTTTTAAGAAGTATTACAATTTAGGTCCAGTTTTCTGCTTAACATATAGAGTAGCTTACTATTCCACTATTTTTCGTTGAAAGTACGTGTCATGTACAAGCGACTCACGTTGGTTCCAAATAAAAAAAAAATTGTTTATATCTTCCGAAAATATTAAAAACAAAATTCTATAATCCCGTGTCATTATAGTGGGAAAATATTCAGGGGAGACTGACACTTTAAACTAATAATACCTACTAAAACAAAAACACCTAACAAGAAAAACCTTTATTGTTTGTAGCATATACTATATTTAATCATTGCTTGTAAGTCTTGTACTTGCAGCATACAATTTAATTTACATATTACTTATTAGTATAGTATTATGTCTTAAATTGTCGGACTTAACCCAACAAATGACATTTTTCCCGATTTGTAAAATGCTTTTGGGATGTTTTTTTCTAATCTCTAAGCAAAATGTCTAGTCGATCACAAAAAAACAAAAATCTATAACAGAATATATTGTATATTACACGGGAGTGACTTGATTAATACTTGAACATGTTAAATCCCCAAGCATGTGCAACGTATTCAGTTTTGAGAAACGGTGTGGCTTTGTGTATGTAGACTATGTAAAGTTCAATAAGCTATAGCAGTACACCATTGTACTCGATATTCGTATTATTTGCAAACCACATCTGCACGAACGTTTTGCCTGGCACGTGGAAAAAAGGCCAGTGTTATTGAATTTGAGAACAAAAAGCAAGATACAAAAATATATTGTATGCAATAGCTCATCAATAATAATTATAGTAATCAAAATAATGTACAATTGTAGCTCAAAGTGATAAAATCACTTACAATACGCGAATCCTATGACGGTGAACTACACTTTAACTTGGCAAAAAAATATTTTTAACAAATTGTTAGACGTTCCAAGTTGGAAATATGTCCATCGTCTGCACATTTAAAAAAAAATTCTTTAATGAAATATTATGATAGAAAAATTGCCAACAACGTGACAGTATTTTTAATAATATTCATACTACACATTGTGAACAACATGGCTGAAGCATTGATCAGTGGAAAATTTGTACAAAACATTTGTTTTCCGCTTTGTATAATTAAGTTTTTTTTCTTGGTCCAAAAACTACACCACAAAAAAATTTCCCTCTTTATAAGAAAACAGACTACTGAATTTTGTTTTTCACTGTATACTGGTAGAGTTGTATCAAAACAGCACCTGAAATAAATTTGGAACAAATCCCAACTTTTTAAAAAAAAAATAATGGTCTGCTGTATTTTCAAGTCGAAAATTTTTAAATTTGATGAGGGATGAAATAATTTGATTTTTGGCAAACATAAATGAAAAACATGTGTAATGTATAAGCTTGCTAAATGAAGAATTTAGTTCAGTGGTTAAAAAAAATGTTGTGAATAAAACACATAAAATAAAAAATACATTCAAAACAGCATAGCGTAGTTAAAACCTTTACCTTTACATGACATTAAATAAACAGTAACAAGAAAATTTATAATATTTGTTAATGCCTATTAATTAGTAATAAACTTTCTTATATGTTCAGTTAAGCAAATTATTAATTAAAAATATATAATATTATAACAGTATTCACCATACTATTCAAAAACTATTAAGTTTTAATAGTAGAAATATCTGCTCCTCCACCCTTTCGTTATATCACTAAATACAAATAGTGTTTTAAACAACATACTATTGTTGTTACTACTTATTAATATCGGGTTATATAAATTATTATTCCAAAGCTGGAATATAGATTTCAGGTGATGTCAGTGTAATTTAATTTGTTTTATGCCGTTTACCAAACAAATTTAAATCACTTTCGACATTTAACTTAGATACGGAGCTAAGAGGCAATTAGTTTTGCTATAATGTGAGCATTTTTTTTTTGTCTGTACCCACTGTAACTTTTTTAATACTGGACTAATTTCGTTAAGTAGCAATTTTAAACATCACAAACTTAATCTAGTTCTTATCTAGGGGGTCAAAAATTTTAAAAGTTTACTCCATCGCCCTTAGAACCGGGAAAAAAAAATTTCAACTTTTACTAGCTACAATTTCAAATGTACATATTTTGTGTGACCCCTTAACGGCAACAGTCTCAAATTTAAATTATGCCTATTGCTTACACTATACGTATACATATTATATTGTAATGTGAAGCACAAGTATACGAAAATGTTTAGTTTAAAATTCGAAGGTCACGAAAAAGTATTTTATAGCAGTTTTTTATTGCACCAAATGTTAAATTTTTTGTACGTTTTTAGCAAAATAGTTTTGCAACGCCCGTAGCAATGTAAACAAGTAATCAAAGACATCTGTAAATTTTCTACAAACAGTATATATAATATATTATAAGAAAAACTCATTTTTGCAGTTTTTTACTACATTATGTATGATTTATGTGTTTATGCAGAAACCCATAACATGAAACCACGTATTATTAAATTATTAAGAGTTTTTTGTCTAATATAAACGATTTGTGAGAATTTTATGTATCGATATTATTTTTTTAGGGATTTGGATTAGGTACATTACAACTTTATGTATTATATTGTTTAACTCTGATCTAACAGTTATAGCAAGTTATCCTTGTTTTAAAAAGTTAGTTAAAGATATACGTTCCTATTTAAGTTTCAAAAGTTGACAGCGCACTCGAAAATATTAAAAATAGAAAATATTTGATCATTTTATAATGTTGTACAATAACATACTATAAATGTTTTTAAAAAAAAAAACATAAAATTGTATTTATTTTTAAAAATATTTTGAAACCTATTTTTTTTTCAAAAAATCTTATTAACCAATCGATTATTTTTTTAAACATTTACTCGTACAGTTAATAGTCCGCCCAATAATGATGCATTTTTCAAAAATATTACGCCACCTCTTATTCGCCACCTGTTTTCAATTCTCTTAACTAGTAACATAACTACTAAAAAAATAATGTTAAATTTTACATTAGGATAAAACACTGTTTAAATGTCACTTTTAAAAATCATAAAATATGAAATGTAATATACCGGTATAAATAAACTAGGTGTAATAACTACATAGTATCTAAATCATTTAAATTTCTTGCAGTAGACTATTAAGAAAGTTTTGTATGTATTATGGATCGCCATCTATTGTAATGATTGCAGCACTTGTAGTCCTAAGTAGGCGGTTCGCCTACAGATGGAGCTCTTTGTACGCTCAACGGCTTTTAAATAAGTTTCTATAATCTATAATATTATTATTATTATTAATAATAATATGTTGTTATGTTAGAAATAAACACTTCCTAGTTCCTGGCATCGTTTATTTATTTTAACAAAATACAGTATTAGTCGAAAAGTATAGTGCATTATCTTATAGTTATATTATTGAGAATCACATATAATAAAATAGAAATTAAACAAGCAGTGTTTAACATAATGTGTTACAGTATTATAATAAATATAATATTATTCTAAATTTCACTAAAAGATCATATCTACATATACAATCTCACCATAAACAAATAAATCTCAGAAGAACGGGTTGCTAATAAGTCAACGAAAAAAGGCTTAAAAAGACTAGGTATATTTACTTTATTGGAAAAAAATTAATATTATATTATACCAAGTTTAAATGCTGTTAGTAAAATAAATAAATAATGTAAAAACGAATTAAAAACCATTAGGTGTTTAAGATTGGCTTGCATTAAATGATTGAAAATGATTCCAAACTAAAATGTACAGTATTTGCTATAACTTATAATTACAACATGCATTTATAAAAATGATCAATAGTATGGTACTGTAATAGCTCAACTGCTTTTGAACTTGTAATAAGAAATACATTTAATTAAGACGTTCCAAAAATCATAATATCTACGTTAGCTTTAAAATATTTTCAACTTAATTTTTAGTTTTTTTAAAATCAGAATATTAATAATTGTAATCAATTAAAATGTTGTAGTGATAAAAAATAATTTAAATTTTGTCCTGATAAGTTTTCAGTCCCTGCTTACAATATCCTGCCATGAATTATATGTTAAACTATTATTCCTATTAGTACCTAAATAGAATAAACGAAAATGCTTAACTTGAATAATATAATTTACCTCCATTTAAGTAATAAAACATGTATATATTTTTTTTAATTTATCTACTCTCTTCTACCATACGGAAAATAACTAATTTTTTCCAATAATGCCTTTTTAAAATAGACTACATAAATTGTATACATAGCTGATAACGCAATTGATATTATTTTTCGGATGAGCTGTGGAGTTCAATTAGAGCTTACAATCGCGAATGCAAGTATTATAGTTATTAAAAAATATTTTTTTTATCTAGTAATTATATATTTCGTTAGTATACAATATAATTTTCTTAAACGATGCTGTTGCAACGCAGTAACCTTTTTTGTGTTCTTTAAAAATGTTATACAAATAACTGTGTAAATAATAATGATTTTTGATATTTGATGTTTAGTTTGTACAAAGTTGTTTTCTTTAAAAAAAAAAAAATAA